GCACCAATTATGGTGTATTAAGTTAGTACAGGTACTAAACTATTATTAATACCTGTTATTACAGGTACTAAACTTAATGTGCCATAATTACAGTGCATTAATGAACATGTGGATGTGCCCACTGTGCAAGATATCTGCACTGACTTAAAAATCTTAAGGCTATTTGGAATCATTATCTGGTCTGACTTCCAACTGGAAAAAAAAAAAGTCTGGAAGGTCTGAGGACATTTTATGCCAGCCTTGAACAAGCTGGGATAATGGAGAAAGCTGGTAAAGCTTCTCACATATGCCAAAATGAACAAGCCAAGTCAAGTATCACACAGGAACAAAAATCAGCTGTCTTGAGTAAAGCAGACATAGATTTATTTACAATGGCTGCAAAAAAAAAAAAAAATCTATGCGTGTCCTAGCTCATTATTCTCATTTCTCTGAGATGGCCTGACTGGAACTACTGCAGCTGAACTGCTGATTGGGCATATCAAATCCATTTTTGCTAGTCATGGCTTCTCTGACACGCGAATGTCTGACAACGGCTTGCACTGGAGTTTAAGCCATTTGCGACGGAGTGCAGCTTAAACATGTAAACATGGACCCATTATTTGGAATCCAACAGGCTGGTGGAAAACACTGTCGAGATAATGAAGCACTTATTGAAAAAGGCTGCAGTTAAATTAATCACTGTTAAATTACAGAACCCTGCAGACGAAGATCGAGTTGTCACCGGCTGACATTTGTTCAACAGAGAATGGGAAGCAAGCAGGCCTGGGCTGTTAGAAATGGAGGTCAGAATCAGTGGGGAATTGCAGAAGTATTAGAGACAGGAGGCAAACCAAAAAGGTGTGATGATTTGGTGCCCCAGGAGCTGCTGCCATTTAAAGAAAGCGACACCATGGCCATCTCTGCTTGAAAAGTTACTACATCCTCAGAGGGTCTGCTCTGGGAAGGCTGCCTCTGAAATGACAACAGGCAGACCTGCAGGGTGAGATCATCATTTCAGATGCGTGGAAACGTACTGCGAAGGACCACAGATGCCTTTTCCAGCTCCCTGCTGAGTTGACCACAGGGCAACAATAGCAGGTGAGAGTGCTGAACCTCAAGACCTGGCACAATCGGGATGAACAGACTTACCACCACCTGGGAAGTGCTGTTGATATCTCGGAGTGGACTCATCAATCCATGAGACACTGTGAGGCTCAACAGCAGAGAGGCTAATGGAACAATATTAACAAACTGAGTTCATAGATTGGTTATAAAGTATTTGACATTCTGTATTGTGTTAATGTTGCTTTATTGTTAGTATTGTGTTTGTCTGGGGAAGGAGTTGTAGAGAACTCTGCCTTTAAGAGGTTCAGGCAAGAAACAGCTGGTACAGGCAAACAAGGTTCTTTGGGTAACTCTGATATCTTTTATTAGACCAACTCAAATAGTTGGAAAAATTCTCCGTAGCAAGCTTCCAGGTTTAAATGTCCATCGTCAGGCTGAGGAAGCATCTGCGGTTGGTGTGTGCTCTCAAATTCACACCCCAAACCCTTGGACAGGTTCTGGATTCACTGGTGTGCCTGAACACAAGTCTAACTTATTGTCTTTCTGTTTGCAATCACTTGGGATACATACAGGTAAAAACAAAAGTATTAGACTGAGCAGTAATCAGAGTCAATTAAGTAAGCAATTGCCTAAACAGCATTAAAGAGATAAATAGGAAACAAAAAGGAACCAAGTTTTGCCACAAGGACATACAGCAGAAGGACAAAATCACGTCTGCACACAAGAAAGCACTGGGCAGACGGAGAAATAGTTATATGCAGCGCATCTACACAGATGCTTAGAGACCTTGATAGAAAGGGATGGATAAGGAGTGTTAGCGATAGACTATGCAATTCAAATGACAATCACAACCCCAGTTTGGTAAACACATCCTTTAAAAAAAAAAAAAGGGGGGGAATTATTTTTTCTCCATTCCTCAGAGCAAGAAACTGTAATCAATTTAGGAAGCAACCCACTCATAGATAATGAATCTGGTACTACTTTAGCACTGTTGTGATGGTCACCTCCCTAATGGAAATCCCCATGTCTTCATTTTATGATGGCTTAAGTCGGAAAGATGCTAGTAATACAGCACAGCAGCCTGCAGTTGCCTGGAAGGTGCCTTTTGAAGATCATGCGAAGATAATGAGAAACATCCTGCACTTGCAGGCTCATCACACATTTGTTGGCCAGAGTTAACTAGAATCTCCCTTCACAATCACCTAGCTACAAAAAATGCTGGCTGTTTTACAAAAGAAAACTATCAATGGGCTAAGGCATCTGCCTCCAGTGGGCCTGTGCCAAGGAAAGCTTCTCCTGCATCTTCTTCCATTGTGAAATCTTATCCCATGAAACTTAGTAGCACCTATCCTTATGCCCAAAGACCACGGACTAGAGATGTGTCTGGCACAAATTGCATCTGCTCTAACTGCTCACATTTTCTCCTAGTTTCTTTCCTACACACAATCTGCCATAAATCCCCAAATATATTTTCAGTTAATCATCAGTCCCTTACATAACATTTCTGACTTTCACTGCAAACCCATAACGCTGCTGTCCCTACAGCTAGCCCTCGTCAGAATCCAGATTACCTGTAAATGCTTGCAAAGCAGGCTTAACTGCTCGTTTGTGGTCACCTCCAAAATTAAATAACCAAAAAAAATAAAAATAAATAAAAGGTGGAGGATTACTTCAGATCAAACCATTTGGAACCTAGAAAATACGTATGCTCTCACCAATTTGTGAAGGTCTTTCTTAAGTGCATAAGAGAGACTATGACATCTCCCTATGGGCACAGCTTTTGTTTAAAGCAGCACAACAAGCAGCAGGATTATGGCTAAGCTTAATGCTTTGCAAAAATAAATAAATAAAGATTTAACATCTTCACTTCTTCCTAAGAGATTCTGCCACTCCTCACTGGTTATAATTAATATTCTGCCTCCTACTCCCCAAAACAGGGCTTCTTGTCTGAAAAGAAACCCTATGGATGCCTTTGCATTTCATACCCCGCTTCCAGCTGCAACAGCACCTCTGGCTTCAGAATTACCATATTTTCCTGTATATAAAACCCCCCAATATAGCATACACCCTATTTTTGAAAGGCATCATGAAGGGAAAAAAACACAAAAAAAAACTGCCTAGGGTTATGGCTGCACAGAGGCTAATCTTCAACTCACTCAGCCTCCCTTTCCTGCATAACTAAAGCCCTAGATAAAGCCTGGTCTCCATGGGTGGACCTCTGAGCTTTAAAAGAGCCAGACAGTGGGTCCAACTGCACAGTTACTGTGCAGTAACCGTCATTATTTTGCAGTCCCAGCAGCACATGGGTTGTTTCAGACCCTACTGAGCAGTAGCAATGAACTACTTGTTGCTTTTTGCTACTGCAAAATAGCATCGGAGTCAGAGATCGTGCCCGCCAATGCTAGGTCACTGTAGTGTCTTGTGTAGATGCGCTCCCTGTGAAATAGATGGCACAATCGCCCTAAGAAAGCTGAGCTTCATTAGTAATCAGAACTCATGGTAGAGCTCACATCTTTTATTAGAGCAATTGGAGTTTTGCAACCAAAAAAACCCCCTTTAATTGCAAGCTTTCGATTGCAAGCTTGCAATTAAAGACATTTTTTGTTGTTGCAAATATCGACTTGGTTTAATAAAAGATACCACCTCTACCACGAGTTCAGATTCTTTTTTTTTCTAGATCAGTACAGCTGCACCCCGGATACCTGCGCTTCATTCGTGGTACTTCCAGACCCTTAAAAAGGCGAGATTTCTACAACCTATTCGAATGGCAGTCGTTGCTCAGTTTTGCAGGCCTGTTTTAGGGAATTTAAAATACAGATGTCAGAGGTAAGGGAACACGGGGGTATGTGGAGCGCAGACCCATGCAGTGACGAACGATGGGTGTGAACTTGACAGTGCCATGAATGGGCCCTTGACTCTATCAGCTGCCTGAAGAGCAATCCCAGGGCTGTTGCCCAGAGGGGCAAGGATCAAAGCCAAGTGCTTCTAAATGGGGTAAAAATTAAAAAACAAAAACAAACCCCCCTTGCTGGCTTAGTAGGCCACCCCCACATTTAATTATTATTTTTTTTGGAAGGAGGGCTGATTGGTAGGAATGTGTATGTGTACTAGACAATACGACAGACATCCCTTTCTTTTGTATTCTCTGAACAGCAGGGACTACATTCCCCACAATGCCCCTCGCACCGGGCCAGGACAAGCAGGGGAGGGCTCTCCTCTCGCGAGACTTGGGCGCGGCCCGGAAGTGCTCGCGCCTTAGAGACGGGAGTGGGACGCGGGGCGCACTGACGGAACGGCGGCCATGTCCGAGACCGACCCCAAGACCGTGCAGGACCTGACCGCAGTGGTAAGGCGCCTACCTGGGGCCGCGGCCTTGGGCGCCGCCTCTGGAGCGCGAGTTGCGCGGGGCGGCCGTTAGGGGCGGGGCCGGGCGGCCGTTGGAGGCGTGGCCTGGGGGAGGGCGTCAGTAGCGGTGGTGCGCATGCGCAATGCGGGCTGCTAGGGCACAAGGGTCTGGAGGGGGCAGCATCAGGAGCCGTGTTGCGCATGCGCAATGCGGGATGTCAGGGCACGAGGTGCCTGCTGCGGCTCCCCACTGGCAGGGGGGAGGGGAGGCAGCCACCAAGTGCCGCATCAGGAAGCCGGGCCCCCCAAAAGCCCAGCGCCATCCGTACAGGGCTGGATGTGGCCGCCTGGCCAGTGTTTTCCAGCCGGCCGGTATCCCCGCGAGCTGGATGCTCGGCTCCGCCATCTGGACTTGGGGTTGAGCACTGCCATCATAGAGCTCGCACTCCCTCATGCTCGTGTGTCCCCTCACTGGCATAGCAGTGGGGAGGATCGGGCTGTCGCACAGCTTTAAGCAGGGTTGTGGAGCTGCCTGGCCAGCGGTTCTCAGCATTTTTAGACTTGAGGCACCCCCTGGGATTGCTCGCTTTTAATTTTTCACTTGGTTTTTAAGTACGGGTGGATAACAGGAGCAAGTTTCAGGTTTATGGATGTTTAAGGCTGGAGGGGACACCTTGCGAGATCTTTGGGTCCGGTCCCCCTGCTCTGGGCGGGAAGGCTGCCCTGACCCAGGGCGTGTCTGCCGGGGTCAAATAACCCCGGCCCTCTGCCGAGTAACCGGTGCGCATCCAGGCTCCTGTGGCAAAGTGCTCTGAAGGACACGATGGCCAGACATTTTAATGCTGTGGATCCCTAGGTGAAAACTCTGGGTTCATCTCGTAAATGTTGGCTCACGTAACTGGAGCCATTGGGCAACATGCCGACACACCCTTGGAAGGATATCAAGGCACCCTGGTTGAAAATTACTGCGCTAAGCTAAAGAAGTAGAAAGAGGGGCTACTCAGATGAAAAGTTTGAAAGCAATACTTTAAACTTAAGATTTTCCCTGTGTTTTAGGTACAGACATTGCTTCAACAGATGCAAGACAAATTTCAGACCATGTCTGACCAGATCATTGGAAGAAATATCCTTTTCTGTACTCGTGCCTTTCTGGGTGTGCGTCAAAGATATTTGCAAACTTTTATGCCTGTCAAACTCTTATCTTTGCAGTTTGGGTCATTACCGTTAGCTGTCCCGAGTGAAGCTGTATGCAAGGAAATAAGAATATAAATCATATACAGTTCATTTTCTTTAACTTGAGTTAACTTGATGACATGAGCTGTCGCATTGATGACCTGGAGAAAAACATAGCTGACCTCATGACGCAGGCAGGAGTGGAAGAATTAGAAGGAGAGAACAAGACGCCTGCTCCTAATAAGACCTAAAGTGAGAGAATTGCTTCGCTTCCCAAGTGAAATCTTCTCCCTAATGATGTAAATAGCAGAACTGGCATTGACTTTAAAGGGGCCAATTTTTCATGCTCATTTGAGAAGCAGACTCTGAAATTCAAATAGAGCAATTAATGAAACTACTGTAATAGGAGTTTGTATTTTGTTGTGCAGTGAATCCTAGGATATTTGTTCGTGATCTTTAGGAAGTTCCTACCAACTTGTTCAGGCAGGACGGCCGCTTCAATGACTAGAGGCATGGAGTGTTAAAAACTGGAAACTGAGAAAAATACAATGTATGAAGAGTGCAGGCTGGTTTAATAGCTGCGTAACCACCTCTGCTCACGCAGCCTGACATCACTTGCACAATTAAAGTTTATTTTGACTAACTGGAGTTGCGCTGGCATTGCATCTAATTTCACTGACTCATTTCTGCCAGACTCCCTAGCAGTGTCACTGTTTGTTGCCCAAAAATAGAAATTGGGCAACAACCAGCTGCTTCATCAGCTTTATAAGTAATAGTTAAGGTATGGGTTCTGGCATGAGACTCCATTAAGAAAAATCTTTGGACTAGTACAAGTCTGCAGATCATGGTGAAGTGATACTGAAAGTCCCATACACAGGGTGTGCCTATGCTGGATTAGTGAGGTCAGTTTTGCTTGTGATATTTCACTTAGTTCAGTGAAAAATTGACAAAAGGTGATTTATTTATTTATTTAATAATTGTTGTAGGCCTTGAATATAGGGAAGTCCCAGTGTTCCCCATAGAGCAGTGGTTTTAAGGAAGCTGGTTTTAAGCAGTTTTAGAAGAACTTTAAAATTGGGGACAGAACAAGGTATCTTTTCACTGTATCATCAGCCCTCAGCTCCCACCCCCAATCCACATTGTACTATCTGCTGGAAGGGAAGATTTTACTTTGACTTCTTACGTATTCATCTTCTCCAAATATGACAGTGAAACGTGGGCAGATGAGGGGTTTGATCCTGCAAACTTCTAGTCAAACGTTTAACTTTATATTCTTGCCATTCTCGTTAGTAAAATTAAGGGCTTGCAGTTTAGATTAGTCTGATCTTAATTGCACCAAAGTTTAGCTTTATTCTTCATATTCAATCATGCTTAAATTCCTACTGGGACCTTGCAATTGCATAAATGTAGAAATTTCACACTTGCCAATCTCTCTTTGTGTAAATGGGGGGGGGGGGGGGG